AACTGATTTTGGTGGATAGCTCGTTCCTTACAAAGGCCGTGAGAGCCTTTTCATCTCATGCATCCTCTTCTTCTTCTTACTCATAGTCACTCCATGTGGCTTTCATGGCTCTTTCTTTTGTTCTCAATGTCAGTGGACAGCACAGTTAGTAAATACTCCATTTAATACACGTATATGTATCCGTATGGACTTTATCCGTAAAAACATCTGTATCCGTATTATTGTCAAGCCGTTTCATTAGTTTTCGTTCATTTGACGACTCCCGTACTAAACACGTATAAACCTGTATAACACGTTTAATATCCGTATTTAATGAAATAAATTATTAACTTTACTATTTTTTACATATTTATTTATTTATTTATAAAAATAATTAATTTTATATATTTATGACTATTAGCGTACTATTAAACGTAACATTAGCTAAGACACGAAGTATAATATTCGTACATATTTTATACGTAACTTTCTCGTATCGTATTTTACTAACTATGGTGGACAGTTAGCACGAATGTGCCCTAGTTTTCCACATTTGTAGCAATCTTGTGCTTCTTTTTCTTGGATCCCTGCATCAAATTGCTTGGTCTGCAGAGTACGCAGCGTATCTTGGAAAGAACTTCTGACTTTGTCAAAAGGATTAGTACGATAAAAGGCATTCTGATCCAGAGACTTTTGTTTCTTCTCTTGTTTGTATTTGAGCACTCTGTGAAACTTGTTACTTATCAGATGAAACTCTCTACCGAACTCTTCGCCTAGGTCAGTATCAGAGTCATACTCAACTGCCTGTGATTTGAAAGTTAGGGTTCTTTCATTTTTCATCATCCTTGTTAACTTGTTTAAGAACGTGTTCATGACTAAGGAGTGAGTCAATTAACTCATCTATAGGTATAAAATTCAGATTTCTAGCTTCTTCAATAGCAGTTCTCTTAGGCAACCATTCCTTAGGAAGAGGCCTCAAAAATTTTTCTGTTTAAGACTTTCAGAAGATAAGTTTTTCCTAGCCCTTTAAGTTTGTTACACGCTACGACACAACACCTAACAATGGCAAAGTGTAACCAATGAAAGGGACTGCAGTATGGTGGCACAAGTGATAAATATCGAATCCACGGGTCTCTAGAATTACTATTACTCAGCTTCAGTTCATTATCTAGCAAACTAGATTAAGGATTGATTTACTTAACTACTCTACTAATTACAGGTTGGGAACTCACTTAGGTATGATTCCCCCTAACTCCTCAATTAAGTCTAAGTTGCAATTACCTTTGGTTGATCTACTGTTGATTAAACTGCAGAAGATCCTAAATTAGCTTGGAATCTCTTAAACTGACTAAGCCCTCTTAGACAGAATACCCGGCAAGCGACTAACCTCCAGTACAAAGCAGTGAATTGACTGACTCTCGCACAACCAATTCAACTACTATCAATCAAGGAAGCTCTCTTAACCTAATCACATTCTATCTATCATAGGTTAAAGCAGAAATCAAGAGAATTTGATCAGGATTCAATTGATTCAATAAATCATACCTCAATCGATTATAATCAAACAATATAGCATCCAAAACTTCATACAAGAAAGATCCTAACACATGGAACAAGGGTTCCTCAAAACCGAAGTGAAGGGAAGTTAATCCATAGAGAAGAGAGAGACTGCAGAAATCTTATCTAGATCTTCACTCTCCATCTTCAAGCTTGATTCTCGAGCTTCAATGGTGAAGAAATCCTCCAAAATAGCTCGAAGAATGATCCCAAATCGCTCTCTCTCTCTCTCTAGGGTTCATCCCTTGGGTGTTTGGGATCCAAAACCCAGCTCCCCCTTTCCTTTGGCTTGAATCTGCCTCAAAAACCCAATTCTGGGCAAAACACGGTCGAGGACACGGCCGTGTTTTACTTTTGCCCGCCAGTGTTTTTCCCCCAGCAGCCCTCACGACACGCCCTCGGCAGTAAAAACACTAGCGGGGGCCAGATGAAACACGGCCGTGTTTTTAGGGTAGTCTGCCCGTGTTTTTACTGCCGAACCTGTTCCCCTATATTCAATGCTTCGTTTCTCCCTCCTCCGGACTCCGAATCAGTCGTCGTTTGACCCAGACGCTCCTAGTCTCGTCATCTTCCTTTTCATGACAAGCTTGAATGATTCTTAGTCGATAAATGAGTTATAAATCAATTCTTCCTCAGGTCATGCCCGAGTTTCTTCTCCCGAATTGCCAATTGATATCCGATTGACTTGAAACTTGCGCCTATGCCCCCCCTTTACTCACTAGGACATGAAATGTGACAAAGTAACACAACCTATCATAAAATAGGTCAAAGAAGGGATAATGCAAGCTTAAACAATCAAGAAGCAGAGGAAAAAATATGTGCAAATATCGAGTCATCAGTTTGTTAATAAGAATAGTAAATCGAGAGTACATTTCATGAATTCCCTCACCTGGAGCCATGTCGAAGCATTCATATTTGTGAACCAGAATATCACTTATGGTTTCCTTGATGTTTGAGGAGCCTTCGTATGTGCTTTCAAGTGAGCTCCAAATTTGTTGAACTGGTTCGCAGTGTTCCACTTTGTCAGCTTCATCTGACACCATGGCGGACTGCAGAATGTGCATCGACCTTCGGTTGAGTTGGGAACTCTTCTTATAAGCAGCAGACCGCGTACCTTGTTCAGCATCCTCCTTGGCAATAGGACCATCACGTACTACAGTCCACCAATCTTCATCGACTCCCCAGAGAAAAAGTTTTCATTCTTTTCTTCCACGTAGTGTAATTTGAGCCTATAAACACTGGTGGATGATTGTAGGAAGCTTGCCCACAGTTGGCCAACGCCATTTGTCTGGATCTCTTTTGGCAGTAATGAGCTCTTTTAAAGACCTTGCTCTAATACCATTTGTAAAGGGCAAGGGACACTATCTAGATTTCTAGGGATTGAAAGAAGACGAAACAGAGAAGAATAGAATTCAGATTCAAATGAAATGGTTTTCAACGACTGACTCTCGTATCTGAATTAAGCTGGTTGGGCCAACTGAAGAGAACGCCCACAGGCTAATAAGAGGAGAGTTAGGGCTTTTAAAGAATTGGCCCACAAATTGAGTCAGAGAAGATCTAGTCTTCTTCTTCCCTGAATCCCTGCGAACCAGAAACAGGGGAATTGAAGAACAGGGGAGATTGACACAGCCGCAAAGGAAATGTAGAAAAAATAAAGAACAGAGCAATATTTTAACGAGGTTCACCACAAGGTTGGTTACTCCTCGTCCCGGAATAGTACTCATTATTCCGAGAGACATTTTTTATTTTCTTTTGACTCTATGAAAAGGAGAAACAAAGGATTACAGGAATGAAGTGAGAAAATCAAAAGGCACGACACCTGACCCGAATTCGCACAGGAATTCGTTACAACCTTTGATCGACTGAACCTCTACCTCAATCTGAATCAAAGTCACTGCTTAACCTATCCTTTGCCTTATCCCACAAAGAACTCCACAAACAGTAACGAAAAGGTCATCAAGCTTCCTTTATATAGTCTTACAGATGATAGCCATTGGAGACCATTTCCAGTCATGAAAGGTATTTGATTTCATCAATCAGCTCCCCCTTGATTCAGGCTTCAATTTCCTTGATTTCTCTATTCGGGTTTAAGCAATCTCCTGACTTTATTTGATCGAAATATTTTAGCCCAACAACACTATCATTGACTGTGTTTCTTCACCTACCATTTTTCTACTTTGAAGTTATTGATTTAGTATAGCTCGCCTTCTCATTCTCAATCAAAGAGAAGGGAGGCGTAGAGATAGGGGAACGACTAGCGGTGAGGGATTGAGACAACCAGACAAATGAATTACCCGAAAGTCTTTCGAATCCATTGGGAAAGTCGCTATGCACCCAATCAGGGAAGTTGTATTTGATTTTTTTTTTCTCTAGCTTGGGATCGTATAGATCCGGTGGTGTTGCAGTTCGAGGGAGACGAAGGAACGACGGGAAGAGCAGCATAGAAATTTGTTGGAACCGTTCATTGCTTTGAGTCGATGGAGAGGAGACTGAGAGAGGCGACCAAATTCTCTCTGCTTTTCACCTTGTAATTGTAAAACTGGAGGATTTGCGGTTTGCCCAGAAAAATATTTTACTAAAAACGTAACATAATACAAATGTTTGGTCAGTTATGCGGAGTGCGTAGACTTGGAGTCGATTCATTATGGCGGGTTGGGTCGGTTTCCTTAATATAACTAATGCCACATCATTTTCAGAAGACAACGTGGACCAATTAAATAAGGCGGCACCAGTATCACACTTTTAATAGATGTATTGTAGTATTAACCAATAATAAGAGGAAAATATGTTTTCAGTTTTGATGAAAAAAACTCAAAATACGAGACAACAATTGTTTTCACCCTAACATACCGTTTGGTAACAAATGAATCAAGAATTCATTTCATTGTAAAATGAATTACCGTATAGAATTCATTGTCAAATGAAATTTTGTGTTTGGTATGTCATATTCAAATCTTTAAAAATATAATGAATTGTCGTGTAAAATTCATTGTCAATGAATTCTTGTGTTTTGTATGTTATATATATATAAGAAATCTAGTGAATAAAGAGGATAGTTATGTTATTCTATTATAATTAGTAAATAGTTGTGGAATTCATTTGGAAATTCCATCTCAATTCCTCGAAATTGCTATAACTAGTACCAATTCCATAGAATTAAAAATTAAGAATTGAAAATTAATTATTTTAAATACCAAACACAAAAATGTTTCATTTCAAAATGAATTCTGCAAAACTTACGAAATTCATTTATACCAAACGGTATGTAAATTGGAATAGCAACTGCCAGTAGCTTTTCCTCCGGAATAATCACTCTCCTATACTGTAGCAAAACTTATGAACATGGTAAAAAGTCCGAATCCGTCCATTTTCTCCCAGTTTTCCCTGCATCATCTATTTTCCCTCTTTCGTGAACAGAGGCCAAGATATTGAAGATTCATACGTTGCCATCAATAAAGGAAGCAGTAGCGCCGAAATCTTTATTTGATCGTCAAGCCTCCACCGTCGTTTTGCCAAGACTTCGAAGGTCCCAAATTTCGTGTTGCCCAGATCTCCTCTGAGGTCGACATCATGGCGCTTGCCTCGGCATGTTTGTGAGTTTATTACCTCCAATCCCCGATAGTGACCGCGCCAAGATGATACTCCTCGACGGCTGCTTCACCATCTAATAGCCTCATCTTCTGGTTCTCGTACTTGCTCACCACCATCGTGAAGTTGTTGCCAATGTTGTTTGATGAGGTGATCAATTGAAAGTCAACTTGGACCTTCCCTTGGTTGATCCATGTTCTCTTCCAGCACGGCGGCCAGATGATTTTGAGAAAGAATTCAGGTGTAGTAGTATCCGTTGAGAATCGGCTCTTGCTCCGCATTGAGGCTTGCTTCCTCTCGCATTCTCGCTTACACAATACTGCGCTTCCTCTCGCATTCTTGCCCACATAAAACTTTTGCACAAAACTTTTGAAGTCATACTTGTAACAATTTGAATTATATTCTAATATTCCTATGTAAGATTTTCATTAAGTTCTTGGATAATTGTTGTGCATGTGTATATTTTTTAAATTTGTTTGCTTTCTTGATGTAATATGAATCGTGTGTACTTTTAGTGTGACTTCTTTCTAGTTTTGTGAATGGATCTTCAATCTTTAACTATACATCTTTGTGTTAGTTTTTCATGTCATCCCAATCAATATAATCAAAATTTAATTTATAATTTTTCAAATTTATTAACAACTTAAAAAAACTGAATCGCTAAATGTCGCCCTAAGAATTGCTAAACGTCGCCCTAACTTAAATGTCAAATTACCTATATACCCTTAATGAAAATTGAAAAATTGCAACAACCAAACAACCATTTCACCCTCCTTCCCAGCGGGAGATCTCTTCCCTCTTCCCTTCCATCCTTTCAGCGCCGACCTCCCCACAACCGCCGGCAAACCCCTCCCCCTCTGCAACTCCTTCCCGCCGGCAAACCCCGCCGCTCGCTCCCATCGTCGCCGCAAGCCGCTCGTCGTTGTCGCCGTCTTGCTCCCGTCGCTCAACCTCCTGCTCGTGACAACCTCGCCGCCCGCGCTCCCGTCGCCGGCCTCCTACTCGCGACAGCCTCGCCGGAGAAGAAGGTACTACCGCAGTCAAACCACGGTTTGACCAACGACTGACCGCGGTCAACGTGCGATTAGACCGACGGTCAACCGCGGTCAACGTGCGGTTGAACCAACGGCTGACCGCGGTCAAAGCGCGATTTGACCATCGCACGTTGACCGTCGGTCTAACAGCGCGTTGACCGCGGTCAGACCACTTTTTTTTGTTTTTTTTTTAATATTCTGTTTTTTTAATATTCGATAAATGTTAATAATAATAAAAATGATTAAAAAATATACTAAATAAAAATAATTTAGTTATATATTTTATCAATAATGATATAAAAATTTAAAAAATGTATTCGATAAATGTTAATTAATGATAACAAATTTAAAGAACATTATAAAAAATTTAAAAATGTATTTTTATCATTTTAATAATCAAAATTTCAAAGTAATTCGTTTATCTACTTAATTATTAATAATTTTACCTTGATTAATTATATACTTTTATCTAAATAATGATTACAAAAAATGTAACATAGATGTTCAAACTATTACTTTTATAATTTTAATTATGAAAATCTTAAATTAATTACTTTATGTACTCCATTATTAATAATCCTTTATTAATAATTCAAACTTTTTTTTGAAGATGTCTGGACATGGAATGGGTAAACCGGATATGAATAAGGCGAGAAATAAGGAGAGAATGGTAGGAAGGAAAATGAAGAAAAAAATCCACCTAAGGTTAGAAGGAAGAAGAAGAAGGCGGATGTAGTGCGTCCTGACAGCCACCCTACTGTGGGGCAGTTGTCTCTTAGTCGAGGTACTACCAGTACTCCTACACCGAAGAGCGCACCGGCATGGCAGGCTAATTGGAGTGATTCCATTGATGAGGATGACGGTGATGACGGTGATGCTGAGGTTGGGAATGCCCCAGATGTTGGTGATGCTGAGGTTGGGGATGCCCCACCTCAAGCTGATTTAGGCGTGGGGAAGACGGCGCGGGTCGGGTTATCTTCTACTGCCTCCTCACACTTTTGTGGGCCCAATGGACGCTATGCGTCCAGACCTAGTAGCGAGGAAGGCGGAGATGGAAATAGGAAGAGGAAGACCACGAGGAAAGATATGTCGTGGTTTCTTACATCCGAGTCCCAGATGTGTTCAGGTGGACCAGTGATTCCCGATGTGATCCCTAGCTTTGGAGGTCACATTGGCTTTGTACTGTGGACTTCCCCTGAGCAGGACCATGGAGTGTTGGACGGCTTCCATAGGCCGAAAGCTGTAGAGACTTTGAGGCGATATAAGTGGAGTGCAGAGGGTTCCAAGGAGATGGTTGAAGCCACAGGATTGTCTCACTTGACAGGGTGCATGATGCAGCATTTAGACATGGCTCTATTGTTGGCATTTGTGGAGAGGTGGCAGCCGGACACAAACACTTTCCACATGCCGTTTGGAGAGATTTCGATCCTACCACATGATGTGCATCACATTATTTGTATTCTGGTTGATGGAGAGCTGATGGGAGATGAGGCGTCGCCTAATATTCTTAAGTCAGACATGGGTGGCCTAGTTTGACTTTCGGTGGATGCTCATGTTGGTGGTAAGTGGAAGTCTAAGTGGTACGATAATGGTGCTATGCATGCAGAGGGATTGTTGGTGCGTGGGGGAGAGCTGAAGATTAAGGAGATGGAGGTACAGTGTTACCTATTTGTGTTACTGGGATCCATGCTTTTTGTGGATAAGAGTCGTGATCGCCTTCGTCCTGCGATCAACTTGAATCTGAAGGATCATCGACGATTGAATGATTACGCTTGGGGAGCTAGTGCACTAGCCTATCTCTACAGACAGTTGGGAGTGGCCACACGAGCGGGTAGTAAGGGTCTTTGTGGTTGTTTGGCCCTGCTTCAGGCTTGGATATATGAGTACTTTCCTCTATTCCGTCCGAGCCAGCTGCCACATGTACAAGGTTCCCCTTCCACTGCTACCTCGAATAACATCAACCTCAGAGCTTCTAGAGTGACTTTCGTATTCAAATCTCGAAATGGTTTTCCATCCGCTCGGAGCAGCTTCTTTTGTCGGGAATCCTCTAGAAGCTTCCTGATTTGAAGGTGTTGAGCCTCAATGTAATCATCGTTCTTCTTGAATACCTACAGAAAATGAAGAACAATTAGGAGACTACTAAAACTTATGTGTGTATCAATGAAGCATTATTAGGAGACTAACTGTGTCGACTGCGCCAGTAGATGATTGAAGCCACTTCTTGAAGGAGGAATGGCCAGCTTCAACCCTATTAGAGCTTATGTTATTGGTATAACATTTAGCCCACATGTGACTAACTGGTAACCACTCAGCTGCCAAATACCCCCAAAGACGTCGGTACTGTACTCCCCAACTACGTCTTAAATTGTCTAAGGCAGTATCCATGTCTTCCACTGTCAATGCATATACAGCACGTTGCCAAGATGCCATGATATGATCCACTGTCGGTTTGGCTGCATCTATACCACAATGAGTCGTCCTTCGCACCTACGCTAGACACTTTGCTCTCACATTCCTATCTATATGCCAAAGACATAATATATGAGTCGATGATGGAAACATTACCCCCACGGTCTCAACCAATCCTCCTGCCTTGTCACTGACAAACACATCTAGAACAATGGGGCCAAGAAGATGTTGCAAATGCGTCAGAAGCCACTGGTACGACTCCTTCGTCTCATCGTACACTATTGCAGATGCAATGACAAAGTTCAATCCCACTGGTGTCATGCCGACAATATCAACCCAAGGCATATCATACTTATTGGTCTTGTATGTTGCATCTATCACGATCACATGGTGCCAAGCTCGCAACATCACTATTGACTTGGGGTGGGCTAGGAACAAGTGTGTAAGCATGTTACGATCGTCTATATACTGCACATAGTAACCCTTCTCCTGCGCCATGCGGAAAGTATACTGTAAGGCTGTCATCTGACCAAGCTCTTCTTTCCTTATCTTTTGCAACTCGTTATAAATCTGCTTTCTGTTGTGTGTTCCATTTGCACCTTTTCTCTCATTCACTGCCTTGTGGATATTCCTTGGTGGGACACCGGCTGATCTCAGCTCTCTGATGTATTGCTTATCCTCTGTAGTCAAAACATTCCTTCCCTTTGATCCCTCCGGAAATAGCTCCAACTGATGATTGTGGAAACCCAAATTAGCACCAGGATTCTTTGTATTTGCCACCCCTAGGATCAACCAATATCCATCACCGGACCGCTCGAGCTTGATCTGAAACTCGCACCCCAACTTTTCAGTAGATGTAAGAGGCCTCATTTCCTTACTCAGATCAGTTTCTTTCGACTTCTTCTTCCTACTATGAGTGCAATGTAAGTAATGTCACCAAGTACCTTCATTCTTATTTTTTTTGTTCGTTGCCCTCACCAAATAAAACCCAAAATCCTAGGCAATCTCAGTAGCTGCTTCATATGCTTGCAACTCCGTAGTGTATTTCACGCCATCAATGAAATCCGAGGTGTAATCATGGCCATCCGGATTGTAACTTCCAATATCCTGCAATGTTATCAGAATTTATAAGTGATACCCCACAAATTTTAAAAAAACTTAACATTCTATATCGTCAATTTAACGAGTACCATATGATAAATTTAAAATTTCATAACTATATTAAATTTAATAATCATCATAACTTCATATGAGAATCTATTATTTATGCAATAAATTTAATCTTAATTTGTAATGCAAAATCTAATCTTAATTTTCTAGATCAAGACCAAATTAAATCTAATCTTAATTTAAGGCCAAATCTAATCTTAATTTCTAATGCTAAATCCTTCAATTCCAAAAATAATTATGCAAATAAATCTAGAAAATTATATAAATCAAAACCCAACAAATTATCTCATGGAACAAACCATAAATCATATAAAAAATAGAAAATAATGATTTGAACAAAAAAACAAATAAAACGCTCAACCGCAGGTCACTTGCAGTTGCACCATGATCGAACCCCAAGTGACCCGCGGTTCCCATTTTTTGTGTTTTTTTTTATTTTTCCAGTTAATGTGTTTATCTCGTCGGAGTCGCTACTCATGATTCAGACGTCCTACCGACGATATCGGCTTCAAAATGACGATGATGGATTTTTCTCTCCTTAGATAGTGTTTTTCTTAGTTCAAGTGGTGTTTGTTTGCTAAAAGGAAGGTAAAGAGGCTAAGGGGGTTAAAAGTGTAACTTTGATATTTTTAGGGCGACCTTTAACAATTTTAAGGGCGACCTTTAGCAACTCCTAAAAAACCATAAATATAAGAGTTATTAATGTATAGCAATGTGCATGGAAAAAGAAGGAAATAAAAAAAAAGAAGTGATTGGTTGCATGCATGTGAATGAAGTTTATCCCAAATGCTTGTGTGACATTTCTAAATGAA